TTGATTAATGAAATTTTTGTACTGTGTTTTACATATCTGGGTTCTCTACAAAGCAAGTTTCGCTTCAGAAGACTCAGCACACTGACACCTTTGCGCTGTTCGGTACTGAGTGCCCCCTCACTACGATCCCCCTCTTCGACTGTCAAATACGACTCCCCTTTTGAGCCAACGATGATGTGCCCTGTGCACAACCTCTTCATGTAAAGAAAATTTATTCAACAATACAGCAATCAAACAAATGTTATTGGAGCCAGAACATCTTGAGAAATTTGTACACATGTGTAGGTAAGTTCAGTAGTGGTCGTGACCTGAAAACAAGCTAATTGGGGCTTCACTCGGCTAATAAATACTGCCCTTGAATCTCGAATCTTTTCTTGGCTGTAGTTAATATCAAGTGCCGCGGTCACCAGCGCCAACTAGGCGTCAACAGGCGCTGATTTGGGGCTAAAGGCTTTTTCAACAGACGTTATTAGCCTGCACAGTGAGAGTGTTTGGCTCCTTAATTACACTCCTTATCCCTGGGACGGAGTAGGCGTGGCACTTGAACATGGCATGGAAGGGATTACTCCTGGGGAATTTCAGTTCGAGACAGATATCATCTTGATCTGTACTGGACAGAGACATGACCACAAGTCTGTCAAAATGAAAATATTCAACCAAACTCGTAGTCACCACCACGCTTAGTTGAACTATGCGGCCACGCCAAGCGCATCCCAGGGATTTCAAGTGCACGAATTATAGTACTCTGCGGATGTTCGCGATTAGGATACTATGCCAGCGTATAAAGAGCGATGTAAGGTACATTTAGGGTGTGAGCTAAAACAGTCCTGCTGGCACCGGGCATGACAATACATTTCAGCTTCAGTTCGCCATTTAGACACTGTCTGAGACCGAAGATTTTGAAAGAAGTAAAATACCCTCCTCCAAGTTCAGTCGCAACGTGGCTCTGACGCCCGGAATGCTCTGCGTTGGTGATGGCGCCGAAAATCAATGTCATACACGTGATCAGGACACCAAAGATAGTCTAGATGTTAGTTTACGCGGATTTTAGTGGGACGGGTCGTTGGCGGTTTAATTGGCGATGAGGAGGGTCGCTACGTTGAACTGACGCCTTTCGGCGCCGGCGTTCAAAACGAATGGTCATACCCTTAGTCGGAATGTCAAGTAACCCCCGCCCCTCGTTCCCCTTATAAGGGTTTTCATCAGTTATAGTGAGAAAAAGGTGGTGGCTTAAGTCTGCGCCTTTGAAGCCAAACGCGCCAGCGCTCAAAAAAGGAAGGCCATACTCCTGGTTACGGTGTCAAGCTACCCCCGTCGGCAAAGTTCATCCGGAAAAATGTGAGATTCTGCAGCAGTGATAGTTCAATAGCGCAATAAGTGGAGCTATTCTCAAAACCAACGTTCAGATGCCTCACCATAGTTGTGGTGGGGGTCGAAGTCATGATGGTAATGAGATCCGTGGCCGTTTTCCTCGAAATCGTGCCTGGCGAACTCTTTACCGTAGCCGTGGTGTTCTTGACCTTGATCGTCACCGTAACAGTTGTGTCCACAATCTTGAGTCACTTCACCATGTCGTCCGTCGTCGTTATCGTTTTCTGAACATAAGAATTCAATACCTCACCTCTCAAGGATTTATAAGTATTTTTCTCATTACCGTAGTACGATACGTGCTCTTTTCCTTTGGCATAACTTCTCCATCCATTATGAACGTAGGAGCCATAATCACCATATCCTCCGTGATCGGTGCCAGCCGTGTTACCGTCAGCACGAGACTGATCCAGCTCCTCATGCTGGCTAGCCCCACGCTCACTGTGGTCTTGGCCATAGTGGTCTGGGATCTGAATAAATGTCGTCAGGCCCTGAAACGTAGAGTCCACACTCAGCATATGGGCGGGGACACTTAATTGTTGCGTCTTTCTCATTGGCGCATTCTTCCTTTTACAACAGAATCGGCAAAGAGAAGTAGACGCAATATCAGGAATGCACAATGCTCGAGTGTCTTTGTTCCTACGTCCGTTGTGGACAGCTGCTTCAATAGCATTTTCAATTCAACACACAACCAGTACAACTGGTAAGAATAAGGCGAGAGCGTTCATGCTGGGCGCTGAGGATGAAGGACAACATTGCTTACTATTTCCTGCTTATATACCTGGCACTAGAAGTGGAGTTACTATGATGCAGCATTTTTCTGCAATGATAACTGGTTCCCGAAATAGTTTAGTATAGCAACAGCAGAGCTTTGATGGGCTTATAGTAGCCAATAGTGTTTTACTTACCTGCAGAAGCTTCTTAATGTGAGGAATTGGCATTGTCCAGCTAGGGAGGGGAAGCGGATGGAGAAACCTTTGAAAACGAGTCTCTGTACGAAACTGGTATTGAATAAGCATTCGAACCAAAGCCTAAAAAAGGGAAGCCAACTTCTTCAAAATGGGTTTCCTGTTACGGCAGCCTTAGTTCTTTTACAGGGAGCCTTTAAATTTCCCTCTTGTGGATCCAGCTCCTTGACAAATATCTTATAACTTGAAGCGTGTTGCTAAGCCTAACTAACTTTGATTTTAGTATGAATCTTTTAAAGGCCTGCAAGTATTAAGCAGTACTTTTGACTCTATAGTGTAGTTCGCTGCGGACGGTTGGGCGTGTCAGTGCGGCTGCGTTTGGCGCGGTGCCAAACTCGTTCTCCACCAGTTGTTGAAGCGGGCAAGTGACAATACTGTATCATATCGTTCGTATTACTCGTTTTCTACCACTTTTTGTCGCATGCGCGTTTCAACAAGAAGGCAGAGAACGGCCTTGACGCTGTGCACACTCATACTGGCTGACACGCCCAACCGTCCGCAGCGAACTAGAGGGTATTCTGGGCTCAACCGAGGCAGGAGAAAATGCTTGCAGTGGGCAAGTATTTTGAAGTGACCTTGCTCTCTAGTTTGGCCATCGTGCACTCGGAATA